AAGGCGGGGGGGAAGCCCGGGGGAAGGTGTTGGCGAGCACGAGTCCGTGCCGGCGTACTCAGCCTGTGGAGGTACAACACTGACATCTCGCTGGAGGAGGATGCAAGAAACGATTCTTCTGCCCCGGGACTGTGCCGTATCCTGAATGTAGGCGATACCGAAGCCCGGCAAGCTTTGGAGGCTGCCCGGGTGGCTGTGGATAGGGAGCTGCGGATGCTCACGTGCACCGTCGAGGCCGCCCCATCAGTGCGTCTTTGCCTCCCGTCTCGCTGGTGGTCGGAGTCGGTGTCTCGGGGCTGAGCTGTAAGATCACTTTCTTGCCTCTGTAAGATCAAGCCCAGCACACTCTTTTTATTTTTTTCCTGCTGTTACTCCCTTCCTCTCATTGAGTCCCGTGTATCCCAGGGTCTGTGCGCATGTGAAACTCCCTTTTCTTAGTCAAAGGAAAGTAGAGTAGAAAGTAGAGCCAATATTGACTGAAAATGCACAGTGCTCAATGCATATAATGCTCCTTTTTTATCAGCTTCTTAAATTCAACTCTTGTCAGCAGGGCAGCTCCTATTTTAATTCTTTAATCTTTTTCCTGAAATAAAAATCTCAAAACCAGTATGTGCTTCAGACCTTCTCAGTCCTAATAGGTTTTGAATTTAAAGCGTACAGTTTAGCACCATGAGGCCGATAAATGGATATGAACTAAGAGTTGAGGGAGCTGGTAGCACTAGATGCAGCATGTGGCCAGACAAGCAGAGGCTGTTTTCCTAGAAGAAGCCTTTTCTTCTTACAGCAGAGCACAGTGACGTCATCCCAGGTTAAATTTAAAGATGCCACCTGTAAAGACCCCCAGGTCCTGCCTCGCTGGTCACACTGGCCGGGTGCAGGGCTTCCCAGCCCTGGTGAGCTGCTGAGCGACCTGTACCAGGTGGGGCTGGGCTGTTGGAGATACACTTGGCCTTCAGGTGGAGCAAAGCTTCCTCTTGTCTCTCAGGCTCCTACCACATGGTTGAAGCAGGCAGCTCTGTGTGTTTCTGTGGCTGATTTTTGGATGTTAGGTGGGAGATACAAGCAAACGCGCTGCAGCTCCGAGCAGTGAGTGCCGCAGAGCTGGCGACGGCCGTCCCCGGTCCTGCCAGGTTGGACTGCGGCAGGTGTCAGAGAGTTCACCTTCATCCTCCCACTCGGAGCGGCAAGTCTCTGTTTCGGCCACCCAGACCCTCAGCAGAAGATGGCATCATCTAACCGTGGCATCAACCAGGCAGGACAAGGCAGCAGCACTCCCATCCTGTCCGTAGGAGCCCCACTTGTTGGCAGCCGAAGTGCCAGTGCCGTGCAGGAGGCAGAGCAGGTACGGCAATGCCTTCCTGCTGTGACACTCTCTGATCTGAGTGTACACAGAAGTCCTGGAGATAGGAGTAGTGTAGGAAAATTGCTCAACCACTTGGATACAAAGGTTTTTTGCCTCATCAGCAGGCACATGCCCTCCAAGGTGTTTTGGTGTGCAACCATGCACTGTAATCTGAATTGACTGTGGCACTTGGTGCAGTCTGAACCTTGGAGGACCAGGGAGTCTTCCCAGCCATGACCCACCTGGACCACCTCTCCAGCTCCCAGGAATCTCGGTGCTGCTCCTCGCGTTGTGTTGCTTTCAGCCATCGGTCAGCAGCCGCCTTAGTGCTCCTCCCGTCCCGCTGTGGAGGATCATGGTCTTTGCACCCAAAACCGCTCGCCACTGGCTTCTCACCTGCCCGATGGGA